TCTCCTGCAGCTAAACCTGACAGCTAAAACAGCAAGGAGCTGCTTTCCATTACTGTACATGCAAGCCTCCCAACACTGTTGGCACAGGAGAATGTTGGGACGATTGTGAATCAAGTGGTGCATTTGGATTTCAGTCATACTGGATTTTTGACTCTTGCATGTAACTGTGGGACTACCAGATTCTCAGTTGCTGAAAATAAGCAAGACTTCAGTGGCAAGCAGACAGCGCAGTCAGGGCTCATCCGCTGGTGGATTTTCCAGGGGCAAGAGTCAGGACCCCTGCAAACCCAGAGACTATCATCAGGACTGCTTCATTCAGCAGGGTAAGGCACATGAGAAAGACGTCGTTAGGGTCCGATCGAAAGATCTGTTAGGGCTCAGGCGATGCTCAAGATAAGAAAAGCCCATGAACCCCCAGAACAACCGCTCCCCACCCCAAACCACTGATGCACGTGCAGAAGCACCCTAGGCCAAAGAGTGCCACCCGACCAGCGCGGCGAGAAATGTGCACCGCTGCTGCCCTTGCCCACTCTCGCAAGAGGTGGGGCTCTCAGCCGCTCGTACGTGTCAACACGGTCCCCAGGCAGCGCCAAGAAACGAGGTCAGGCAGAAAGCAGCACGGACATCGTGCACGTGTGGGGCTCGAGGGCAGTTTAGCCCTCAGCATGGAGTACAACTCGTACAAGCAAGGAGAGATGATGCTACTGCAAACTTTCAACCCTCTGATCTTCATTCTTTTTGAAACCATGACATACTTCCAGGTAACACCAGTAGAACTCTCAAAGGCTGCAAACAAAGCTGGTATCCTTTGTGTAAATGTCAAGTCACCTATATATATTTTCACATACACACGTAGCTTTTTAGCTTTTAACGAAACAGCCTTTAACCTACTAGTGTGATGTTTTCCAGAGCTTTTGTTTCATAGAAAAATCTTGGATAGTAAAAGTGATAAAGGTTTGATTTGGTTCAAGGTGTACAACCCACAAGCAGAACATTCCCCTTCTCAGGATATGCGTCCTTTACCACTCCCTCCGCACCAGGCTGTGCAGAAAGACCCCTCGCTTGCAGCAGAAACCATAAACTGCCGTTAGTAGCAGTAAGAGCTGAACCTGACGCACATTGTGGATGCCACAAGAGGACCAGCAGTTGACAGAAGTGCTGTCATGAAGTTTCTCATCTATACCACTACTCCAGCAACTCAAACTATACATCAAGCAGGGAAGATGACGTAAGAGTCCCTGGGGGGTGATTTCCAATTTGTAGATTTAGGAACCACTCTAAGCAAACTCAGTGTGTACTGCCATGTATGTGAAAATGGCTGATGTCAACGGGAAGTGTGGAGGGCTGAGTGCACTCCTAGAATTAAATGGGAGCAAAACTCCCTACTGCTTCCAAAGGTAAAACTCTCCAGCTAAAATTCTCTTGTCTAACCTAATAATTCACTGGCAAATACTATGAAACATGCAATTTCTCAGCTCTGCTGTACAACTGTGCATTTTGGACTTGTGCACCCAAATCAAATTCTCATCTCCATACACCAGAAAAGGTTCACAACGATTTACAGAGTAAGTTAGCACTCATGAGCTGCGTGGCAGAATTACCTCTCCTTCTGGATTCTTCCCTCATTATAACATTTTAGTAAAAATACCCTTTTCCCTTTACAACTACTACACAAAGAAAACAAAGTGTGTTTATACTTGGGGATTTTTATGGCTGTAAAATAAAAATCAGGAGACACATGCCAAACCTGCTGATCTAACTGAAGAGTAGACAAGATCAGGCCCAGAGAGGCACGGACAACCCATTTGAGGGAACAGTTCCATTTAAAAGGGAGACACACACAAAACATTAAAATGGTGTGCTGGTTGCGGCTGGGATAGAGTGATGGAGTCCGGCTTTCCTGGGGATGGCTGAACACCTGCCTGCCCATGGGGAGTGGGGAATGAATTCCTTGTTTTGCTTTGCTTAAGTGTGCATGGTTGGCTTTACCCATTAAACTGTCTTTATCTGACTGCTTAAGTCTTTTTAGAAGGGAGGACTCTTCTAGCAAGAAAAAATTCAGATCTCCTGATTGAACAGGAGACACTTGGTAAACTAATTCCTTTTTACTTCCTCAGATGCAGGGGACAGCAAAGAGAGCAAGAAGGGGAACGTGGTCCTGCTTCCAAGCACTTGGAAGGTCCGTTAAATGCCAGAAGACAAGCTGCAGAAGTATTAGTAAGCAGCAGAGTGTAAATCCATAGACAATTATCCAGAGACACACAATAACAATGGTATTAACAGCAAAAGCACCAGCTCATCTGTCAAGCACAGCCCCGTGCTGTCTCAGGGATGAGCTGCAGACACATGCATGCTGTACAAGTCCAAGGAAGATAAATTGTGGTGCTGACAGTAGGGCCCAACAAAAGGCACAGGGAACTCTGCGTGTTTGAGCAAGGCCAGGAAGCAATGAATCATTTGCCTCTTTTGGCTAGGACAACCCTGTTTCTCAGACCCTTGCCTCTGAATGACACACACGCACTGTTTTCTGTAGGGAGGTCCAAACATCTGACGTTCTGGAGGAAAAAACACACTTCCTAACACATACTCATGGCATAGTCTGAGTAGACCAGAGGAAGCATGACCCTCCCCATGACACAGATGCAGAATCAAGTACAAGTGTATCAGGCTGAAGAGTGCAGAGACCCATAAAATAAGGAAGAGTCTTGAGGCCACCCACAGGACCTCTGCTTTCCTACCACTAACCACAGTACCACACCTCGGCACTCCAAAGCTTCACACAAAGCATTTGGAGGGTAAAGATGAAAGCAGTTGAATATCAGATTCCCAGTGCTGAGGAAGCTGCTGTCAGATTTATGTTGAAGCAGATTAACAGCAATGCCACGTGCTGAGAAGCAAAACAGCTTCACTGTACGCCCACTCTCCCTGCAAAACTTCCAGCAACTGACAGCTAGCACCTGACACCTCTGTGAAATCCGCGCTGCCTCCACACAGAGGGAGGGCTCCATCTGAACATGCTGAATAAAGCCTTCATCCAACTCTGCCTGCATGGGCTGCCACTATATCGAAACACCACTTCAACGCCAGCCTTCACAATAAAGCAGATCCTGCTGTGAACACATGATTTTCACAGGATGTTGGAGTGGGACTAAGGGTCTATATTCAGCTCCTAAATCCACCACACAGTCCTTTGGGTGACCCTGGACAAGTCACTTGATCTTCTTAACAAAGAGGACTAACAACTCTGCTAAGGAAATGGGGAATTCAAGCTTCCTGAACACCTAAAGGATGACACTTACCATCTCAGGCTTGAAATCCCAGGTAACCAAGTTCTGTCATGTTGGAAAAACTGAAAGCAAATAAAATTAAACCATTTGGAAAATAAACCCATCAAACCCTGGCTTTTAGGCATCCTGCTAACAAGCTTACAGAGGATTTGTCTCCAGACAGCCCTCCTATATTAGCCAATCAATTGATGGGCATCTGGTGTTCGGTTTATCCTGCCAATACAGACAAAAAAACAGAGCAAAGAATAGCACTACCTTTATAACAAGTACCGAGGTCTTCTTCTAATACAGGATGTACTGAGAGAGCAAAGAACAAGGCCAGAAGAGTTTGACTACCACAAACATCAGCCCCAGACTGCCTGGGCCTCTTCTACAGCATGTTACTGGTTTAGCTGTTAACAGATAAGGCAAAGCTGGATAAAACTGGGGAAGAAAAAAACCCCAACAGCTGGGGGTGTGGAACTTGGGAATGAGCCTAACTACCAAAAAGAAGAAAAAAAAAAAGAAAAAAGAAAGTGTTTTGATGATCAGAGAGCATCAAAGTGAATGGCAACCACTCTCAGCTGAGGAACTGCTGCTGCCTTTGGGGTCCATTCTTCATGACCAGGACCAAACAAAGAATCTCTGCCCGTTTTAATGACTGAAATGGAAGACTGGATACCGTTTTGAATAAAACAAATAATACGGCACTTATTTCCCAGGAATCCAGAAGAGGCGAGTTGTCAAGAGGAATGCCTATTACATCAGGCTCTCCCTTCCATTCGTGGGACCAATTTCAGCTTCCTGAAACAGCTATAGCTTTCCATCTTCATTCTTGATGCCTAACACACCAAGAAAACTGGTGTCCTTGTTCAGCAAGAGGCAATGAAGAAAGCAGCAGACTCAAAGCAGCAAATACTAAGTCTCAGGGATCCCTAAAGTAGACTGAAATGCCTAACAGGTTACAAAAGAAAGCCTGACAAGAGTCTATAAGCAAACACCTCTGATAAATGCCCAAACACCCAGTGCTGCCCTTGAAATATATCCTTCCTTTCAGAAGGATATTTGACTCACACCTGGAGGAGCAGTGACAAAGTCTGGAATATCACAAATATCTTTAAACTCTACCTGACAAAGCGGCCATGGTCACACTAGCTTTCTGCATCAATAGCAAGAGAACTTCAGTTACAGCCCTCAAGCCTCTTGCAGGCATCACAAAATTTGGAGCAAGATCCCTTACATTTCAGTCATGGAGTGAACAGGGAAGAATGATACGTAAGAGTTTTCCAAAGATTTCTAGCTTTTTACCAAATCAAAAAGCTCAGTATGACTTAGGACCAAGTTCTAGACACACACATCCTACGGTACTGATTGGGATCAGATCTAGAGGGACTCTAAGCTCAGTGTCTGGCAACAAACTGACCCTGACGACCTGAATATCTCAATTTTTTCCTTCCTTGTGAAGCAGTAACTACAGAAGGATTAGGTTTTGTTGGATTTTTTCCCATCTACTGAACTGCCTCATCTAAAAGGCAGTTGTTGAGATACTGATTCCTATTTTTCATGGAAAATTGAAGGACAAAAAGATGATGAGAGCTAAACTTCTGTTCCTGCAATGCATCCGTAAGGTTGCCACAAAGACAAACTAGCCAAAACTGCAGTCCCCCACCTCCCACTGGCCTGAGGTTGCAGCCCTCAGCAGCTGGAGAAGTAAAAGTGCTGAGTACTACTCACGGCCATGACGAGCTCAAAAGGATATTTGTAGACTCGAACCGGAGACTGGTATTTCTGCACCATTTTTACTACACACCTGCAAGAGAAAAATTGGAAAATTTTAGATCCCTTACCCCAAATACCACAACACATCCTAGCAGTTTTCACCAGCCGACCTTACTAGGAACATTAACTCTCTCATGGAGAGGAGGGGACATAGTATGCAGAATATCTTGCCCAGCTTAGCAAGTCAGTGGCAGAGACAGAACGAAGAGCAGGTCTCTGCAGTCCCAGACCAGTGCTGTGTCCAACATGCAGTAGCATCCTTTGTTGCTTCCCAACTCCACTGCAGTAAATTCAACTTACAGCTCCAACAAAACTCACGATAATCAAAGCACAAAATAGATGTAAAGCCAGAATCAATTGTACTCTGGAGAAAGAGCCTTGCAAAGCCTAAGCAGTGATTCCCCCCTCCCCATCCCTCTTTTCTGTATTACATTTGTAATCATTACACAAAATGCCCCTTGTTGAAAGCTTCCACAGCTTCCCATAGCTCCATGCTTTAAATGCTGTGGTGCACAAAGTAGCATGCAGTTCTTTTAACCCAGGAAAAGAAAGAGCATGCTTAAAGAACATGCCTGATGCTAAGCTAGCAATCACATCCCACTGACTGGATGCCCACTGCTTCCAGCTGAACTAAGGAAATAACCGCATGCAATGCAAACAATTCCATTCTCAGCATTTCATTTCTCCTAGCCACCTCTCACTGTTCTCATCAGGATTCCTCCCTCAGACTCTCTCGCTGGGGTTTTAACCCTCATCAATAACCAGCATCTCAAGGAAGTACACAAACCATTAAAAAAAGGTTATTAGGCTGCTTTCTGCAATTCCTTTGCATTCTTTTATATCACCCCTATTAATACCATCTATGAACATCACAAACACAAAAGACTGGACGGCTGGTTTGAGACACTACGCTGATTCCACCCCACTCAAATTCCACTGCTAAGCAGACACAGCCCTCGGCAACATGACGCAGCGTAGCACTGAACTCAACAGTCAGAGCATTAAGACAACTTATCCCTGACATTTTAAGACCAAAAATGGAGGCGAAACACAAATTAAAAGGCAAATGGCAATAAATTCTCCCTCAGAAAGTCTGCTGCAAAATGCCACTGCACAGTAAAATCTAAGCAAGTGAGAAGGGAAAGAGACTTTAAA